TTTGCAAAAGTTTTATAATCATCACTGCTTGCATTTGTATGGCTAGTCAAATGTTTTTATACATGCTATTTGTTTAATCCTTAGAATAGCCCCATGAAATACACAGGCCAGGTAACATTATCCCCATTGCTATATGAGGGAGTAAGGCTCAGAGATAAAACAGCTCATCTAGGATCACACAAATGATAAATGGCAGAGCAGAGGCAAGAAACCAGGCCTTCCAAATTATAATTAATTGCTTCTTCCACTACACCACATGGCAAAGAATGTGCAAATGTCCTTAAAGAACTCAAGTGGCAAAAGATTTGGCTATAGGGGAATTAGCTAAATCATTTTCCTCACTTTCAGTGAATAACAGTCCTTCAAGGATTTCAAAGGAAAGAATGTTTGCTTCTTTCCCGGTTAAAGAATAGGGCTGGCTTCCAAACCAGTTTGAGAGTGAAAAGCACTGGAGAAATACAAACCTAGACATTCCACCTTACTCCTACTCAAAACCACTGTCCTCCGGTATATAGAAGGTAAAAAAGAACAACGGTTTGAGGATTCAGCAGTACCCTCTGCATCCAAGTCTTCCAAATAAAAACAATGGTTCATTTAACTCATTCACAGTATTTTTGAGTACATTCTACATGCAAGACACTGTGCGAGGTTTTGGCTACCAAGTGGTTAATAAAATAGACAAAGTCTCAGTCCTTGTGGATAGTTCAACTGGGCAAAATAGCTATTTAGCAAGTATGTGCATAAGTTACCATGATTACAATAGTTATAAACTCTACAGAGGGAAAAGAACCAACCTAGATTATGGGTGAATCAGTACAAGTCCTGAGGAAGAGACATTTGAACTGAGGCATAAAGGGTAAGCAGAAGTCAGCCAAGAGGGGAACGAGATTCAGGCAAAGAAGACAGTATGTGCAAAAGGCTTCGAGTCAAGATAAGTTTTGGAAATCTAAGGAACCCAAAACGAGCTAGTTTGACTAGAACATAGTGAGAAAAGAAGTTAGTTTCATTGGACGATATTGGGGAAAAAGATAGGGACCAGGCCTGTGGCTACTGAACCAGGCAGCCATTGAAAGTATTTCAAGCAGAAAAGTGAAATGATCTGATTATTTAGAAAGAGCACCCTGGCTACTGTCTGGAGAATGAATGGGAAGGTATGGGAGTGAGGGAAAAAGAGAGGTAGTGGAGAAACTGGTCCAAATGAGAGATGATGATGGCTTGGCCTAAAGTAGGGGAAGTGAAGACAGAGAAAAACACATAGATTTGAGATGAATTCAGAATCAATGTCAGTTTGTGAGTGACTGAAAGTGAGGGGTGATGGAAACTGAGACATCAGAATGACTTTCCAGGTTTCTGGCTTCAGTAGCTGAGTGGATACAGCTTCCATTTATCAAGACAGTAAAGCTGAGAGAGGTAGATTTAGTTGGAAGGTACGCAGATATGGAAAACAAGGGCTCAGTCTTAGCCCAAGGGCTTAGTCTAAGCTTGATATACATAGTATATATCCAAGTTGAGATAATCAAGTACATAGTTACATATTGATTCTGGAGCTCAGAAGATAAGTCTGATCTGCATATAAAAATGGGGAGAGTTACTGACATTTATATTAGGCTTACAATAATGGAAATTGATAAAAACAACGTAGGAAAATAACATAGAAGGCAAGAAAGGCCAAAGCTATTGGGCTTGGCAGTGTAGAGATGTAATAAGAACAGATCCATGGGTAAGTAAAATAGAGAGCCAGATATAGCAGGTAGAAAAGGAAATGGGAGGTAAACATGTAAAGACAAGAAGTGTGGACAATCCTTTTGAAAAGAGAATGATATTGACATCCTTGGAAGAGATATTTTACTAATTATCAAGACGTGGAAAATTTGTCAGACATAGTACTCTTTTACCTATAAGTACTGAATTCATCTTCACTCAGTGTAGAAGAAAATACACAAGAATAATAACTAGGTTCCACTAAGAAACCACCACAGTATTTAATATCATTACCTGATTCCACATCGAGGGAGTATTTATCAATAGCCAAGTTCATGGTTTGGTAAGCAGTGGTGCAAAAGTCTTCCAGAATCACGTATACAGTATTGGTGACATTAGGAGGGACAGACTTGGCGAACTTCATTCGGCTGTTCACCACAATACTGCCATTTCTGAAGTTCAGGATTTCTAAATTCTGGAACCCAGTGAGATTTGACTGGAGATAGGGAACCAGCTACAATACACAAAAATTGGTCAGTTTATTGACAAAGTTTTGCATTTTGTTCAATACATACTGAAAACAAAGATGAACCCCTCCACTTTTCCAAATTGTATTATATTTACGTTATTTAAACTGTTCATCAACAAAAGTATGAATTGTGAATTATTTGCAAGTCATGAGGTTTCAGTGTTATTTAGGAACCCCATGGAACTCACAGACAGTTTTAGACATCAGAGAGTTTATTCTGTTTCACTAAAGGATCGTGACAGTGAAGGCATTACAGGTACCCACAAAGCCCTGGTCTCACAATAAAATGTGAATATAAATCTTAAACTTGTATCAGTCCCAGAAATTATAGAATACAATATCCAGTATCTAAGTTACAATATCCAAGAATACTATATCCAAGTGTGGCTCATACCATTTTGTGTTTTCCGTTTCTTGTAACCACCTGTCTCATTATTTTCCTATGAACCCTAGGCCATTACAGTATTTGTAGATGATAGGAAATGAAAATCCATAGCAGACCACACTTTCCTTGGCTCAGATCTTATGCTCTGGGGGGAAAGAGGGGTGGTTCATACACGATTATTCACTAATGCCTACATTTCACTTCTTATGCTTACCAGTTCTAAGAATCTTTGCTCCAGGGCTTTATACTCCAAAGAGTTTTTATTAAACAGATCTTCTGAAAACATCATGTTAGTCACTCTGAGGCTGAAGAAAACCACCAAAGCTCCTGCGGCTTGGGTATGACTCAAGTCTTCACTTTTTGTTGGCTGAGCCACAATAGCCATCTCTGTGGAGTGAATACTTGTAGACATTTCCACATAACCACCAACCTTGCCATTTTCCTCTGGGATTAGCTCAGGATGATAGTAATCTGTGCCTATCTGGTCCAATTCTAATGAAATATCCTGTACGCCCATAATGACTTCATCTTCCAGCAGGGTGGAACTTGTGGTTGAAGGCAATTTGGTAGACTGTGTCATGGAAGCCTTCAACCAGAGCTTGTCAGTACTCTGTGGTGTACTTGCCAATGTGTCTCTGGACAGTTTCTCTAGGGAAGAAGTTCTTACCCAAACTACATCTGATTCTGGCAATATGGTCCACAAAGGTTGCACATCTGGCTTCACTACTGAAATCTTGCTGTCAAACCATTCACGGTTGGATGACTCTGTAGTTTGTTCCATATCCTCCTTTAGAAAGGGTTCTTGAATTGGTTTATCAGTAGAAGCAGAGATTGCTGCAGATGTCAGTAGAGGAGGTGATTTGGTAATTGAATAATAGTCAATGTCAGGTACTTCTGATGTGTGCTTGGATAGAACTGGAGATGCAGATTGAGTTGTGGTCTCTGCAAAGATGGACACAGTAGGTCCACCAAGGGTCTCATCCTCTGCAAAGTTTCTGGATCTATCAAAATGCCCATATTTTGAATGCTCAGTACTTTGATCTATGGAATCTATTCTGTCATCTATAACTAGTTTCTCATCTGTATCCTCAGTTGGCAAATGTAAATCCTCTGAATCCTCAACTTCAAGCCATGACTTGGAAAATGGTTCAGTGCTCTTCTCTAATGAAGTTTTGCTCCATGGCCAAGTAATCAGACCTACCTTTTGCCCAGACCCTGAACCTAAACCACTCTCAAATATGAACTCTTTCTCCATAGATGTGTCTGGCATCCAAGTGCTCACTTCTAATTGGCCTTTGACTTTGGAGGCCAAAGCGTCCATGCCAAAAGGTGTAGTTACTTCTTTAGCAAGAATATCGAATGTGACAGAGGAGACCGGATATGGTGAGGATGTCAAAGACACCCCAGAGTCTTCCATGGATGGTATTATTTCTTTTGGCATAGGACGACTAAATGGGCTTGAAGGCAGTGGATCAATAGAAAGAAAATCTTCTGACCCTTTAACTTTAGTTAATCCTAAAAATAGAGTTTACCATTAATTAATCTACATAGATGCCAAAATATATTCCCAGCCCTCCTAATAAAACCAGCTACCCATTTTTCCCGATTAGATTACGACAGACAGTTGCTTTCACTTTGCCAAATCCAGCAAACAACAAGAAGGTATGATTATGTTTTTGGGATATGGTACAGTCACTCATGATTATAACCCCCTTAACTGAGGATAACAAGACATCAGGTACTGAAAAAATTCATCTTCAAACACGTGATTTTTTTTACTCCCTGAAAATAAAGAACTGCTGGTAGCCATACTGACAACAAAGAGTGAATCTAGTAAAAACTTAGGAAGAAAATTCCCTAGGAAAATTCCCAAGGAATTTCCATCTCCTTGTTATGTTTATTTTTTTTATTTTTGGCCGCACCATGCAGCTTGTGGGATCTCAGTTCCTCGACCAGGGATTGAACCCGGGCCACAGCAGTGAAAGTGCTGAGTCATAACCACTAGACCACCAGGGAACTCCCCCTTGTTATGTTTATTATCCATCAGCCTTCAGGTTCACCCAATGTTCAAAATCCTAGACTCATTACTTATATCTTTGTTCATCTTCCTCTTTCACATATACTCCATCCCTGAGTCACATCCCACAACAGCTAAATCAGCTACTTGACTTTCATTTCTTAATCTCTGCTGTAGCTGCCCTAGTTCAGGTTTTCCCCTTCTCAAGTCTGATGCAAGCTAAAAATCTCTACTGGCCCCCAATTAATCCTATTAAAAGATACTGGAATAATCTTCTTTGAGGCTGTTTGTTTAACACTCAAATATTCAAGTAAGTAGAGTAGTTCTTAAATAGTAATATAATTAAATTATAAATTCTTTAACAGGACCTTCAAAATATCTATTAGGTGATCCCATCCCAGCCCACAAGTTCATTTCTAATTATTTACCTATTTGGACGCTCCCTTCCAACCAATTAGAGCTGATTGTTCCCTTTCTCACACAACTTTCCCAAGACATTTCCTCCTAATGAATGCTGCCATGCTTTTCTCCTAACCCTAGTCTCTGGCTCTCTTCAAAACCTTTGTCATCTGATACAATAAAGAAGTACAAAAAGTCATTAGAATTCCTTACCATCTTCTAATGAGTGAGACCCAGAAGTCCTTTCTTCAGAAGCCACAGGCAAGCCAGTCTGAAGCACTGCTGGGGTGACAGAATGAAGAGTCAAGCTGCTAACCTCTAAAACCTCTGGGGAAGAACTGAGGCTCACCTTCGAGGGAAAGGCTAATTTGGGTGCAGACACTAAATCACCCAAAGGGCTTTCTGACCAGAGTTCCCTGCCAGTGGTTGAAGGAGGACCAGAGCTGAAATCAAGTGGTGAAATACTGCTCATGGTGAATTCATCTGCTGAGGGCCATTCAGCTTGAGGGGTATTATCCTGGAGGGGCAAAAAGAGGCTAAATCATATCATAGATAAAAGAAACACATAAAAATAATTTCAAATACCATCTATCTATCTACATTCCTGGATTTTCTAGGGACAAAAAGGCAATGTAATATTGGGGGAGGGAAGGGGAGTATGGGCTCTAGAATCAAACAGATCCATAATTAAATCCTAATTCAACCACTTACTAGTTGGAAAATCTAGAGAAAAATCATATATCGCTTGAATCTCACCTGGAAAGTGGGAATAGATGAGATAATATATTTAAAAGATCCCAAACAAAGTGAGTTTGTGAGAGAAAATATTGTTTGCCTTGTTTTAGATGGTTCCTTTCCCTCTGTCTTATTAGCTTAAATACTTTAAATACATAGATGTTACTAATATCTGTAATTTGTTGTCAAAGACCTAAGCATGTTGCCCACAGCAGAAAGAACAATCAGTAATTTTATTCATCATTCTGAAAGGTATTAAATTAAGGTCTTTTATTTTGATAAGAAATTGCAACACATCAAAATGTGGTCTCTTACCTTGAGCAAATAGGAACATCTGTGAATTGGTATCACACTTACAAAATAAAATTTTCTCTTTCCAGTGACTTTTTACTAATGTAGTACTAATCGTATCTTAAAGTTTAGCTTCTATTTCAGGAATAGAAAAGTAGACAGAAACACAACCATTGAACATACTAATTATTTAATCCTGTGAAGGCTAGTCCACATAAAAAAGTTTAATGATGTTAATAGGTAAAACAGCCATAACACTGGATAGGAGTTTATATATTCCAATCTATGCTGAATAACAAAAAGTAAGAAGTGTCATATGCATAGAAGGAATTCACAATTTCCTAGATAAAAACTGAAAAAGGAAAATAGAAAAGATCAATCATTCTCTACTCTAAATAGCATTAAAATCACATGCAAGGACTTCCCTGGTGGCGCAGTGGTTAAGAAACCACCTGCCAATGCAGGGGACACAGGTTCAAGCCCTGGTCCAGGAAGATCCCACATGCCGCGGAGCAACTAAGCCCGTGGGCCACAACTACTGAGCCTGTGCTCTATAGCCCGTGAGCCACAACTACTGAGCCCACATGCTGCAACTACTGAAGCCCACGCGCCTAGAGCCTGTGCTCTGCAACAAGAGAAGCCACCGGGCTTCCCTGGTGGCGCAGTGGTTGAGAGTCCGCCTGCCGATGCAGGGGACATGGGTTCGTGCCCTGGTCCGGGAAGATCCCACATGCCGCGAAGTGGCTGGGCCCGTAAGCCAGGGCCGCTGAGCCTGCATATCCGGAGCCTGTGCTCCACAACGGGAGAGGCCACAACAGTGAGAGGCCCGCGTACTGCAAAAAAAAAAGAAGCCACCACAATGAGAAGCCCATGCACCACAACGAAGAGCAGCCCCCGCTCGCTGCAACTAGAGAAAGCCTGCGTACAGCAACGAAGACCCAACGCAGCCAAAAAAAAAAAAAAAAAAAAAAAAAAAAAAATTTTTTTTTTAAAAATCACATGTAAGCTTTTTAAAGACACCAATGCCTACGCCCTACACCTCAGAGATTCTAACTTAACTGGTCTGAGGGTAGGACCTAGACATGGTACTTTTAAAAGCTCCTCAGTAGAGGTTGCAGCTTGATCATGTGTTGGTTGTATTATTCCAGCCTGGGTTTCTAAAATACTTCTTTAGTTGTTAAATCATTATATTTCTCATCAACTGGAGCCTTTAAGAAATTTTCCACAAGCATAAACCTGCCTGAAGACTAGAATTCATGGAAGAGCTATAAACAAAATGAAGCCCATGAAAACTAAGAAACTCTGAATAGAATCCTCTCCCCACTCTTCCAGGAGATTCCTGCCAAGGGTAGTGAATTTTCACTGGCATATACTCTCAATCCTAATGTGATTTTTAAACAAAAGCACACAATTTTAAGGTGGCTACCTACACTCCAGTCCATGGCCAGGAACTAAACAACCTACTAGCCTACAGAGGGACTCAACCCAATGTCATGACCTAATTAGTCTTGTATGCTTTGCCTACACACTTCCCCTTGTCTCTCCATCAAGGGTCCATGTGAGGAAGCCTTAGACAGCACACTCTCCCAGTCACAAGGGAGGGAACATGAGGCAAGAAATCACTGAGCATGACCCAATTTATCCCCTCTTCTAGTGACAAATGCATAGTAGACCACTGCATATATATGGAGATACTCTCAGTTTCATCTACTATTTCTAAACTAAAAGCACTAAGTCAGGTAACTAATTTTCTTTTGTGGAACTCAGTGACACCAACACTTCCTACCTTGTTCATGCTCTTTTAATTAGGTCCTATTTTAAGTGGGCCATCCTGCTAGCTATTTTCATCTGCCACCACCCTAGCTCCTTCTCTTCCCTGATAATTTCATCACCCTGCTCCCTTACCAGCTGTCTTCTGTCTGAGTTTACACTTTTAGAAGCAGAAGATCAAAGGACAGGAAGAGTGAGAGGTTTCGGTATTTCTTCCCAGTTCCCTCCAAGCCTCAATACTGCGGACGTAGCTGCATCCCTCCACAATTGCAACTTCAGCTCTCACTGGGCTCTGGTAACTGCATTTCCTCCCCTTGCCCTACAATCCAATGGATGGGAATGGCTTCTCACTGTTATTAGTCTCAGCATACTTCAAGATCCCTTTTTCCCTTAACCCCTTAACAGAACAGGTGGTTCTGTTACTATTGAAACCCTGGCCATGCCATGTTTTGTAGTGCAATGTACTTTTAAAATCCATAAAAGTTTGAATCACTTCTGTCAAAAGATGATTACATAATTTGTAATGAAATACAAATAGCCAGAAAAGGAAGAATGAGAATCAATTAAAATAACAACAACATAAACCAAAAATGGTATCATTCTGCTAAATTTGATTAGAAATAAAGAATCTAGAAAGTTAAGAGGGAAGTGACGAAAAGTAGATGGTGCAATACTAGTGAATATTTTTGCCAGTGTGACTTTGGTCAAAAAATGGAATAGAGGAAAACACATCTGAGCATTAGACTGGAGTCTGTGACCAGAGTCTGATGAAATGAAATATATAGAGAAAGTAGAGAAAGGCAAGATATATGTCAAAGAAAGAGGAAGACCATCCTCAAAAGACTGGATGTAACTGCAAATGATCTATTAAAAAAAAAAAAAGAACCATTTCAGGATAAGAAATTACCTCTTGGGAATTCTCTCGTCAGAAGTCAACATGAGGATATCAAGACTTGATTCATGAGTAAGGCCAAAAAGATGATCTAATCAGGGGAAAGATTTCTGGCATTTTTCTAGTAAATTTTAATATTTTAAGAGTACATCATCACAAGGAGCGAACTTAACCTTATATAACTCTATGTAGTGAAGGCAGCTTGCAATCACTGACCTGCGTACGCAGTGATCCTATATAACCCAGCACCAAATAGACACACAAAGCTGCCTTACGTTTCTGACTAGAGGGTCTAAAACTTTCTGGGTCCTCAAGAATGGGCCAGAGTGATGTCAGCTGAGTAAGATATCCCCCACTCGTATTCCCCCTTCAACAGTAACAATCTGGCATCCTCCATGGACAAAAGTGCCTTTGTGGGAGCTGTGAGATCCAGCATCACACACCAAGGGACCGAGAAGGAGTCTAGCCCACCCATGCACTGGGTAAGAAGCATACAGACCTCAGTCCTGGCTGTGGACCCTGAGGTGGCCCGTGAACTGGCTCCAGCCCCTCTTGGACACAGTCTGGGAGCCCCTGGAGAACAATGACTTAGACAGTCACCCATGAACGACAGAGCCTTTGTGGAAGTCCAGGAGTCCAACAGAGAAGCTCCAAACACACCATTTGAGCAAAAGAGTCCAACTTTAGACACACTGGCGAGTGTAAGAGGAAGAGTTTCCCTTTACCCACCTCATCCCTCCCACAAGGCAGCACAGCTCAGGGCCAAGAGAAACCCTCTCTGTACATGATTTCTGCACAGCGGAAGGTGAGAGCATGTGAGTGAGTCTCTGGCCTCCCCAGCTGTGCAGGACCTTGCTAAAGAGGTCTGTTTCTCTCTCACTCTATCCAGAGAACTAAGTTGTAAGCTGCACGACCAGGGGATGGGAAGTGGCTGAAAGAACGGCGGCCAGGACTCTGAACATATCACAGGGATGCAGATCCTACTAACCACATGACTGACTCCACCAGGAGGCCTGACCACAAGCTGCCAAGACACCTTGCCCATGGATCCCCCTTAACTGGCCCATGGGCACCTCACCCCCACAGGCACCTCCTCCACCCCACGGCTAGCTCCTCGTGTGCACTCCCCATGGCAGGGAGAGCGAACTTTGGCAGACAGCTAGCGAGCAGGCCCAAAAAGCCAGCCTGATTCTATCTATAGGCCAGGGAGAGATGACAAAGTTAAGCTTTTGCACTTCCTTTAGGAAAGCTGTCAGTACTTAGCCTGGTGCACTGCAGGATCAAGAGAAGGCACACAGGGCTTCCCTGGTGGTGCAGTGGTTGAGAGTCCGCCTGCCGATGCAGGGGACACGGGATCGTGCCCCGGTTCGGGAAGATCCCACATGCTCCGGAGCGGCTGGGCCCGTGAGCCATGGCCGCTGAGCCTGTGCATCCAGAGCCTGTGCTCTGCAACGGGAGGGGCCACAACAGTGAGAGGCCCGCATACCGCAAAAAAAAAAAAAAAAAAAAGCATACAAGCTTAAGAATTCTGCCACAACAGGCAGCAAGAAGTGTGGAAAAGGTGTATCCATAGGAGGTTTGAGAAAAACAGAAAGAAAATATTCAAATGGCCAATAGCTACATGAAAAGATATTCAACATCACTATCATCAGGGAAATGCAAATCAAAACCACAGTGAAATATCACCTCACACCTGTTAGAATGGCTATTGTCAAAAAGACAAAAGTGCTGTCAATGGTGTGTGGGAAAAAATTTTTTCCTCATAAAATTAAAAATAGAACTACCATGTGATCCAGCAATCCCACTTCTGGGTATATGGCTAAAGGAAA